TAATACATTTATTATATTTTATATGTATATAAAAAGTACAGATACACGTGTATACATACATATACATAAGGCTATACATAAAAACCCCTTTGTTTAAAGGATGTTTTCCCAAAATCTATTCATGAGATCTTGAAGTACTGGAGGTAGGATAATTCCTTAACGCTTTTTTATCCCATGTCACATTGGTTCCAGAGGTGCCAAAAACCGACAAGAACTTCGAAGAGAGGCTGATTTTCAAGGCTTTCCTGCTGAAATTTGTCAACGCCTACACCCCGATTTTCTACGTCGCCTTCTTCAAAGGCCGGTGAGTGATGCCCAAGGGCTGCTCAGGGTTTCAGCTTTTCAGCCCCAAACACTCAAAGGCGTGGATTGTGGCATAAATTGCTCTAAGAATAAAATATCGGGAAGTATAAAATATATTAACTCTGACCATTGTGCCCTAGATTTGTCGGACGTCCAGGCGACTACGTCTACATTTTCCATTCTTTCCGGATGGAAGAGGTAATTGCATTTCCAGCCCGTCTGTGATCCTGCTGGGTGGGAGCACCCTCTGCCCCCGCCCCAGGGATGCAGCAGGTTGTTCTGACTGTCCTTTCCCCTCTCCCCACCCCAGTGTGCTCCGGGCGGTTGCCTGATGGAGTTGTGCATCCAGCTCAGTATTATCATGCTGGGCAAGCAGCTGATTCAGAACAATTTGTTTGAGATTGGCATCCCGTAAGTAGAGACTTTTGTTTTTTGGGTTTGTTTTTTTTTAACAAGTGTTTTTTACAGTGCCTGCAATGCACTGTGTGTGTCCACTGCCCCTGGGTGTGAACGTGGCTCACAAGGCCGCGTGAAAGATTTTTCAGTAAGTCTGTGTTTGTAGAGCAGCAGGAGCTGAGGGGGCTTCAAAGCAGAGTGGAATGACCAGAAACCTGGTCTAGTGGAAGGTGTCCCTGCCCATGGAACAAGATGAGCTTTAAGGTCCCTTCCAACCCAAACCATTCTGGGATTCCATGCTTCTGTGACTGGGAGTAGCTGCATCCTTGCTACGATGCATCCAGCAACGCAGGTGTCTTTGAAAAGTGCTGGGCAATCTGTTGCTTTCCTGCTGGTTAGCAAGAGGTGTCATGGTGAACAAGTGATTCAATTACAACCATATTTTAGTGCCTGACCCCTTTGATGTATACTTTTATAATACACACCTAATATACTTCTAGCATATTGTGGCTCTTGCACAGTTCTTATGAAAATAAGTGCAGTGCAAGCGTTATGAAATTATGTAAGAATTATGAAAATGTCGTGCCTGTTAATGTAAATAACTGAGAAATGAGCAGAGGATGGAATTGTAACTGAATTATTTCCACTTCCCTCAGAAAAATGAAGAAATTTATCCGATACTTGAAATTAAAGCGTCGGCGCTCTCTGGACCATGAAGAGCACATGAAAAAAAAGCAGCGTTATGAAGTGGACTATAACCTGGAGCCTTTTGCTGGGCTCACCCCTGAATACATGGAAATGAGTGAGTGGGGTGGAAAGAAGGCATTTTGAGCCGTAATTATTCCGACTAATTGGGATGGAGGGCAGAGCTTTTCGAACTGCAGATTCAGTGGACATGAGGGTAACTTAATTATTGACGTGTACAGTCTTGGATTGCAGCACGTTTCAGCCAGCCCTGGCTGCTTGAGGGCTGAACTGTGCTCCCTGCTGTTCACAAGCCCTTACTTTAGCACGACATTGTAGATATTTTCTTTCAAGCCATGTGACATGTCACTGCCAAGTTTCAAATGCAAATGATTAAATGGCATATTTTATCACCAAGCTCCACCCTACATAGGAAATAAATTACTTAATTAAGATTTGGTAATTTCCACACCAGAGTCTTTGGGTTTTTTTCTGAAATCTGGTCTAAATCTTCTGAAAGAGAGATGTGTCTCTAGGCCAGGCTGTACTCAACAGATCACACTTAATTATTTTTTTTTTCAAGTAATGCCTTATATTGAATGAGACAAATTAGAATATGTGGTGACCTTGATGTTCAGAGCACTTGAAACAGATGGAAATCTAATGCTACAGGCTAAGAGGTCATGCTGTCAGTTCCTAAAAATAAGAAAAGATGCAGTTACTGAGATCAGCACTTGGAAGTAACAGAGGCAGAGAAAGGATGGGGCACTGGCAGTGCCAGGATGAGCATGACATCAGTGCAACATCCTCAGCAAACAAAAAGCAGATACATCCCAGGTTGTAGGAAGCAAGTTATTCCCAGCAGATCCCAGAGAATCAGTCATGTCCTTTCCAAAGCTTCCAGTGGGATTGGTGAAGGCTAAAAACCTGCCAGGTGGAACATGGCAAGTTTAGGCAGAGCTAACACTGTTGCTGCCATAACCCCGCTCCCTCAGGTCATTCCTGTGCCAGCCTTGCCCGTGGAAAAATTGGTTTAGGAGCTTCCCCATCCTTGTGGTTACTTTTCCTCGTGTTTTGCGAGGTGGCAACGGGCCCTTTCCATGCCTGAGTGGAGCAGCCATCATGCAAACTGTGCCTGACACAGAAAATGGGATTTAATCTCCCAGAACTTGTCATCTTGTCAGACTTTGGGGGATGGCTCTGGCGTGGTGCTGGAAGCATTTGGTAAATACTGCCCACAGCCACTGAAGGGGTTTCTTTTCCTTTCCAGTTATCCAGTTTGGGTTTGTGACTTTGTTCGTTGCGTCCTTCCCTCTGGCACCTTTGTTTGCTTTACTGAACAACATCATTGAAATCCGTCTGGATGCCAAAAAGTTTGTTACTGAGCTGAGGAGACCGGTAGCAGTGAGAGCAAAGGATATAGGTAAGTGCTTATTGCTGCTGTATCCCTGTTTGCTTATTCCTGGATTGATGGCAGGATGCTGTTGTGCTGAGTTAGTTTCAATAACAGGAAGATATTTATAGGAAAATTCAAAGCATTAGGCTGTGGCTTAGCTGTGAACCGCCATAACTCATCGAGGCTTTGCTTTTAAAATAGGAAGACCAGAGCTTTAAATTCAGATTAATATTTTATTAAGCAAACATTATCACTTTTTAGATCAAAGCAATCAATGCAGTGGCAAAATATCTCACATGCTTCTGCACAACAACGGCCCTTCCCGGCAATGCAGTTTTCTTGCAGAAGCAAAACTTTCTGTGTTTAATAACTCTGGACTGGCCTCAGAAACACCCTTGGGAGTGAGAGGAGATTCAGAAGGCTGCGAGTAAATGTATCCCTACTCAGCAAGAACATCAGAAGGGTGAAAGCTGCAGTGAATGTGGCTGGAACTGGGCTCTGCTGTACAGACCAGTTGCCCCCTTACTGGGGGGGGCCCAACAGCTCTAGGTGTATGTGACAAGGAAGCTGTTTCTCCCAAATGTTGGTTATTTGTGACTAAAAAAGGTCGTTAAAATAAAAATAGAAATAAAATAATTGTCTTTATTACAGAGCCGGCCAACAAGAGCAGAGAAGTTTGTGACCTGTTACTAAACTCAGGGTTCATTCTGCTGTTGTCCAGGCAGAGTTTTTCCTTGGGCTCATCCCTGTGCCCTGGGATCACCCTAAACTTGAAGAACACATCGTGTTTTGTCAAGGGCTTTGCCATGACTTTGCTTTGGGGGTGGTTTTTTTGTGGCTGCCTGATTTGATGCTGTGGGTTGCTGGTGGAGGTGGTGGGGAGAGTGTTGTTGGTTTTTTGGTTGTGGTGGGGGTTGGATTTGTTTGGGTTTTTTTAATTTGTTTTTGAGAGGATGTTAATTGCAATTCACTGCAATTTGATCCCGGTCTTGTGGGTGAAAGCACCTCACTTCTTTCAGAGACATCCTGAAGTCACACTGAGAGGGCCACAGACAAAGCAGACAAGTTTTTTAGCACAGGGATTGCCAGGATCAGGAGAGGGACAAGGTCCCACCTGCCTAAGGCAGTGGGTAACCACAAACAGAGGTCTATCCCTGCTTCCACAGACACTCTCATACCTTTTCCTGAAGTTCTGTGCTCTGCCCAGGCTGGTTTGTGTGTGCTCTGCCAGAAAGCCAGGCTGGAGGAGTCTTCCAGGGACGTCACCCTGTGTAAAGCCACCTACATCTCCCTTTTATGCCAAGCATTCCTCTCTCTCTCTCACACTTGCCTTCCTCTTCCTCAAAGAAGCTTTTAGCTGAAAACCTAAAAAAAGAACCAAAAAACAGGTGCTCAAACATAGCTTTGGAAGACAGATTTGGGCTCCCTTTGCTTACGGGTCATTAAATTCATTTCTTATAATTTGTTCTTTTTTTATTTAAAATATAACTCTAGTTTGAGTGCCCTTAACACTGTTAACTAAAAATGTAATTTATGTAATTTTAGGGACTAGAACAGAATTTACATGTCTGTCTCTTTCCTTAGGAATCTGGTATAACATCCTCAGAGGGATTGGAAAGCTTGCTGTCATCATAAACGTAAGTAGATCAGCATGAACAAAACTTGAATTCAGTAGGCCGGCTTTTCCATTCTGCTCCATTAGTTTTATTTCAGCATAAATCCCTTAAATCAAGTGAAAGTATATGATTTAGAAACTTTTGGGACTATCAGAGAATTAGCTGCAGTGTTTATTTTAAAGTTGTGATAGTAGTAGCAATAATATGAAATAGTAACTAGTCATTGCAGCTTTTTCTCCAGAATGTTTTCATAAAACAGCTTTGCCCTTCAAACAAATATGACCACGGCTGCTTACTTTTGCTCCTTTTGAAATACTTTCACTAGGATGATGTATTTTTTAATTTCAGTGCTATTTTGGGTCTGGTATGAGATGAGAATCAGTTCAGCTCCTCAGAGCACAGTGTCCCTCCGTTGAAAGTCTGCCCAATGCTCCCACCCAGAGAGTGTTGAAAACCCTGAAAATATTTTTATTTCAACACCAAAATCCACATCCCAGCCCTTAGAAAAATTTAGCACACCTGGATATATTAATGTATGTGCTTCTGTAGTACTCTATAGGAATAGACATCCACAATGATCATCCTTCTTGCACCCCAGCTGGGGAAAGATGAAAACAAAAGCTGTTTACAGTGCAGCAAACCAGGGACTGTGTGGGGCTTATGGCCACATGTCCATAGACTCACTTGGGGTTTTTTTTTTACATTATCCAGACTGAAAATCCCTTCAGTTTGTCCCCAGGGGTCTGTTGGGCTGTGGCAAAACCATTCTTTTGGTTATTTGGTCTTCTGCCTTAGTTTGTCTTTACTATTTCTCCTCTTTTTCTTTGGAAATAATTTCTCTATGTTTTTTCTCTTTTCTTCTGTGTAGTCTCTTTGTCAGTGTTATTTTTCCCTCTTTGGTCAGTGTACTATTCCTCTTTACCATAAAATAAATAAAACATTTTGTACTGTGTTTGTTCCACATGTACATGAGATTTATGCCACTGAGAATGTTTCATAACAATGATAAATGAGGAAGGCTAAAGTTATGGAGAACTCAGCCAAATTGGCTGTTGTGCATTTTCTGTACAATCTTTTTTTAAAAAAAAAAAAAAACAAAACATTTTAAATAACCGACTGAAATGCAATTTCTGTGACCACAAAAATAAAACTGGGCTCCGTCTGCTCATCCTTTTATCTTGATGGAGTTAAAAAACCACACACAATTAATGGCCCTTTTGCAGCGCAACGAGAACCTGAAGAGTCGATTCACTGCCGGTTGTTTGCAGGACAGGAAAAGCGCTCGGAAATCAATCACTTGGACCTTGTGCAATGCACCAGGGACAAGCTGTGACTGGGGCAAGGGGAAGCAGTGCTGGGTTAGCTCTCCTCTGGTGCTGGGGGCACAGCTGCTCCGTTCTCTGGGGGGCTCGGATCATCCGCGGATATCTCAGTTGGCGTGGAATTACTCCGTCTGATATGCTGCGACTCAGAAGAGCAGGGCAGCAAACAAGGCCTCGTTGCAGCAGTGAACGCCCCATTTTTAGGGCCCTGAAGGCTGCAGCGTTGCACGAGTTGTTTGGGCAATTAATGAGGGTGTTATTAACGAAGCAGTGCCTGGATATTGCGCTCACTCTTTACTCTTGTGGCTTAGGCATTTGTGATCTCATTCACATCCGACTTCATTCCACGCCTCGTGTACCTGTACATGTACAGTGAGAATGGCACCATGCATGGCTTCGTCAACCATACACTATCCTCTTTTAATGTCAGCGATTTCCAAGCAGGAACAGCTCCCAACGACCCCCTGGATCTTGGCTACGAGGTCCAGATATGCAGGTACTCCCTTCAATGATACGAAGTGTTTTCGCAGCCGGCTGAGGACGTGGCAAATTTTTACATCCCTTGTGTTTTCAGTTCCTTTTTAGCACCTTGGTAGCCTTTATATCCATTGTCTTGAACACCCTGGCTTACATATTAAGCAATCACAAAGCCTGAATGTGAATTGCTGCTTCTCTTTTGGGAAATGGAGATTAGCATTAGTTAAATTCACTGTTTGTCCGTGCAAAGAGAACAAGGAGGAAAGAGACATTCCAGGGGAGAAAAAAAAAGAAAAGATGATTTTCACATGTAGTGAAAACTTACAGAAATTTATCAGGGAAAAAAAAACTTGCCTTTATAATAATATTATTTTTATATATTTTTTAATATTTTTATATATTTATTTTTATATGTATTTATATTTTATATTATTGTTTATTATAATATTATATTTATATTTATTTATATAAAATAATGTTTGTATTTTATATAAATATACATATCACATTTATATAAATATACATATCACATTTATATTCTTTATATATTTGACAGTGCAAGTTAATTGGCTGCAACGACCTTTAAACAGAAAAATCACTCTAAGATGAAAGGAAAAAAAAAAACAATCAAAATTATATAAGTATTACCTTTGCTTGCATTTACTTTCTCCTGATTCCCTTCTGGTGATCTCTGGGCACAGGATGAATGAGGCTGGCAAACAGGTTTTAGCACAGAACTCACTGAACAGCAGTGTCAGTGTCATGGTTTAAAAGCAAAATGCCAAGTTTATTTGCTTTCTAATCCCAGGCACTTTCTTCTTGCCATTCCATCAGTTCTTTAATAGTTCAAGGACTTTTAAATCACTTGAAAATATGGGGCCCTAATTCTTTCAAAATATTGACAGGATGCTGTGGTTTTAAACTGGTTTTTACTGAGATCAGTATTTTTGCCTTTAAAATTAGTTTGAAAAATAGATGTTGTCCTTTTACCTATCTTGAAACGAAATAAATCATCTGAGCTGTGTATTTTACTCCATCTTATGAAAAATTGATATTATTTGTACTAAGCAGAGGGTATTAAGATGGAAGACCTTTAAATATGAGTAAAGCTTGAAGGTTATGGGAGACTTTCAGCTGTGCCTTGCTTCTGAAAGGTTGATTACAGCATCATGCTGTAATAGTGAACTTTCTTTTAGACAGTTCCACTTATTGTTTGACTCCTTGGTATTAATTGTTTATCCCAGTGCTGAAATTTCTGAATGATATCACTGATTTACTGAGTCTTGTTTTGCAGATACAAAGATTATCGAGAACCCCCCTGGTCTGAAAACAAATATGACATTTCAAAGGATTTCTGGGCTGTCCTAGCAGCAAGATTAGCCTTTGTGATAGTTTTCCAGGTAGGTTACACTGCAGGCCGCCCTTGGGAATGAGTTATTAGGCCAAAGAAATATCTTCTTTCACAGTTGTGAAAAGCAAAAGAAATTTGCCCATCCTCAGCACCCTCTTTGTACCACCAACCCAGGTACAGGTATATCCTCAGCGGAAAAATCCATCCCCAGGGATTCCCTGAACCGGTTTGGTGCAGAAGAACTTAATGACTTCAGAGAGCAGCAAAGCACAAGGCTGATACTAATTAAGTCCCACCAATTTCTCCCGTGGGACATCAACAGTTTCAATGAAGCAGCATAAATTTCATCCAAAATCATTTTTAGAGCTAGCCAAGACATGAAATTTCTGAAATTTTCCCAGTTACAGTTTAAGTTGCACCTGAACAAGAAGGCAAAATATTGTAATTTGTCCTCAAATTACATTATTCCATCACAACAGTGACGCTGGTTATTGTGACACAAGTGTTTTAAGTTTGCCTTACCTGAAAAACTTGTTTCAAAAATTTATGGGTTTTTTTTTTTTGGATAAAATATGTATCTTTTTGTGAAAGACCCCCCTCCCCTTGAATCAAGGCTTTTAAATCAGAAACATTTAATTGGAATGTATTTTACGAGCTGTCGCCACTTTACCTCTTGCATTTGCTCCTGCCTTCCTTGCTGCAAAACTCCTGAGCCATTTATCACTGCCAGTATTTCCTTTGGAATTCTCAGTGGCTGTGGCAGTATTTGTACAGACATCACAGAGATCTGAGCCTGAGGTATTTTTTTTTTTCACTTCTAGCATGAGCAAGCAGTTGAGGTGAATTCAGTTCAGCACCAGCCTTGTGACATGCAGCTGATCCCAACTCAAATATTGTCCTTTCTTCATCCTTCCTCCCTGAGTACACCAAAACCAGCCCCTTTCCCCACAGCCACCCTTTTCACTTGACCTTGCTGACATTTTCTCACAACTTCATTTCCAGAACTTGGTCATGTTTATGAGTGACTTTGTGGACTGGATTATCCCAGACATTCCCAAGGACATTAGTCAGCAGATCCACAAAGAGAAGGTTCTCATGGTGGAGGTCTTCATGAGGGAGGAGCAAGGGAAGCTGCACATGCTCGAAACCTGGAAAGACAAGGACAAGAGAAAAGGTGAAAACTGTAACAATCACAGCCCCAGACTCTCCAGGAGCCACAGTGGGAGCTTGTCCTCCTGCCATTCCTATCCTCTGGATGTGTAGAGGAGGAGGGAGCTGAGTATGTCGGGGCATTCCACAAAGACACAGAGGGCAGGACTCGAGTAATGGACAACCTGGTGCATGTTGGAGGATGTGCTGCCATTTCGCTCCCATCTTTGTGAGAAATGCCCTTCTTGCAGACATGGAGGACCACATTCTATTTCTGGTAACGTTCTTTTTCTTTTGCACAAGCAGTAAATGCAGGGAATTTTTATATTTCATCATTAGATAACACTCTCGACGTTGGCGTGCATTAATAAATGCAGGTACTTAGTACATCTTGCTAGAGATATTCTCTGAGAATTTGACCTTAGCCTATTAATAAATGGATGAAGTAAAAGGTAAATTTTAAATAATAATAATAATAACAAAATATTTTTGGAAACCCAGGTTTGAAGGTCCATGGGGTAACTTGACAAATTATATGCAAAATCAGCTCTAGAGTGGAGAGAACCCACGTAAAGCCTCCCAGACTGACTCGCTTTCCAAGACTGGGTTTAGCTCTGTGCCTGAAACAAGCAGAGCTTCAGTGTCACACCAGGTGTTTAGGGCACTTGTGGCAACTTGCTGTGCATCCAAGACCTTCAGAACCGTCAGGAAAGGGAATCTGGAAAGTATTTTTTTTTTTTTGCCACTGAGCGACTGATGCGGATGGAGCTACCCCGGTGCCCCAGGCTGCAGTTCCCAACAGCTCCCTCCCCTCGTGGCCAGGCAGCAGCAGCAGCACAATTTTGGGATCCTCCCGGCAGGGAGATGATCACAGAGCATTTTGGGAAATGCCCTGAACTAACGAGCACACGTGGAGCTCCAGTGACTCACACTGCCCTGCCCAGTACTCGGACACTGTTGTTGCTGAGGAAAATCCCCTTTTCCCTGTTGTTTTAGCACATCCCCTTTCCCGGCCAGGTTTTCCCCTGTAGCCCTGTGTCCTCTGCAGGAGAAGGGAGGCTCTGCAGCCCAGTTTCTCCCACAGATTTTTCTGCTGTTGAATGGCATTTCCCAGAGGCTGTGCCAGAGGAGTTAAACCCAAAACGTGTCCCACTCACTGTCTTCAGTGGAAGTTTTGCCTGCACTGGGGCTACAGGACCAGTCCTTCAGTTAGTTACAGGACTCTTCTTTTGTCTTAAAATACTCTTATCTTTTGTACAAGGAGCTTCCCTAAAGTATAAGTGTAAAATCCTTACCTACCATGCCTAGTTAAACCCCATCAGTACAACTCTTTTTAAGCATAATACATTTTAGTTTTGCTTTGTCTACCGATAAAACTGCACTTCCAAATAATACTGGTGCAATTAACCTAATTTCTTTTATTGCTTTGTCTTGTCCATGGCACTTGCATTGCAAATATAAAACTGAAAAAAGAAAATAAAAAGGAAAGATTTCTTTAGAGTCTAACTACTGTATGGTTTGTTAAAAAACCAAAAGTCAAAAGGCTGTTTTCAAGAGAAGTTGGTTATTTCTTTTTTCCTTTTCCTTTTTTTTTTTGCCAAACTAATTTAAAGATTAATGCTAGAACTTTAAAAAAAAATTGCCATATTTAGCTTTTGATATATTTATTTGTTTTAAAGTATGTGATAAACTTGATATTTTTCTGTAGTCTGTCCAAAGAAGGTACCAGAAGAGAAATTATGTGGAAGAAAGAAAACGGTATTAACCAAATATTCTTGAAGCTTATTTAAAATATTGATCCAACCAAAGATTTTTATTAATAAAGGGCTTATATTTTGTTAACTCTTGTTTCTGTTGTATTTTGACTTGCAGGAATGTCACTATTTTTAAAATTTGTAACTTATGATAGTGTGTTACTGGAGGGCCAAATCCTGCCTGATTTATTCCCACGTTAAGTGTTATTCCTGGTAGTGAGTGTTTTACCAGATCAGGCCCACTGACTGCAAAAGGACTGTGAGTGGGAATAATTCAAGCAGAATTCTGTCCACACATCTTGTTGAAAACATGTTCTTCCTCTCATTCCTTGGTAGCCCAAAAGATCCAGGAGAAAGACAAACCTGAACTACCTGTTCTGAAGAGAAATCTTAGGGAACGTCCTTGAAGGGGGATTTAATCTGTAAATACTCACCTGAAAGTATTCCCAACTTAATACTGACATTCCTGTAAATGATAGAACTATATCCTGAACACATACTTAGCAGAGTTTTTCATTATTTGCTGAAATCATGAAATAGTAAAAGTTGCTTATACTTTCTTTTGTACAGTAAATTGTTTGAAATGGAATTTTGTATATAAAAATCTGTATTACTACTTAGATATCTATAAAATTCTTTCATGGAATCATTTTTTTTAAGAAAAGCAAATATATACTAAATCTGTTTTATTTTGGTTTTGGTTTGTTTTTTGGTTTATTGGGTTTTTTTCTTTTCCTTTGAACACTTATTTGAAATAAACTTAAATATGCAAGAGTTTCTCCTGTGGGACAGGTTCTGTTCCCAGCTGTCCTTGTGCTCTGAGTGTACAGACATCTTCCCAACAAAGCCAAAGGTACATCTGGGGTTTTGAGCTGCTTGGAAGACCCACATGGAGATAAAGTGAATCCCCCCTTGAAATCCTCCTGTCTCCAGGAGCACAGAGGGAGTTTTTGGCTGCACTGTAGACACTAAATATTAAGTGATGGCTCTTAGCCTGGGAGCTTTCATTTTCCTCTGATTTAATCTTTGGCATTCAGCAGAGCATAACGTGTAGGAGCTTTCACTAGGACATTTGAAATGGGCTCCTAACGAGGGAGAATGCTAATTGCTCCGTTCTTTTAATTTGAAAAGTGGATTAATTACTAAGAGTGGAATGGTGAAACCAAAGGAATGAAGCTCAGGGATTCCTTTGACTCAACTCTGAGGGGAAGCAGAGTGGATGTCACACTTTTCGCTGCCTTGAGGGACCTTCACAGGCAAAGCTGGGCTCAGAACTTGATTTGCTGGTTGAAATTTTTTCACCTTCTCCCATTTAACTGTTCTGTGAGAAGGCAAAGCATGAGGCTTCGTGCCAATCCTCCTTTTCTAGCCAGAAAATATGAAACACTCTAACCCGTGGCATTTAGTTGGAAGGTGGGAATTTTGTTCTGAGGAAATGAACACCAGAAGCAGGGAAATCACAGCCCAGTTGGTAACTGTTTGGGTTTGTCAGTTCTTAAAGACAAAACAGTAAATAAGACCTTGTTAGTTATAAGATAATGCCTTCCAAAAACAGGCTTGCACTGTGGTTGGTTGTGGTGCTTCTCCTGAAAGTTTTCTTATATCTGGGATGTGAGTAGAAACAAGTTTGGTTTTTAGCAATAGCAAATTTGAGGCAGGATTATGCTAATAAAGATTCACTGGAAGTGGGGAGGGGGGAATAAACTTAAAACAGAGAAGCAGGGGTCTGGAAGTGACCAAGGGATACCCGAACATTCCTCAATGTGACTCCCAGGGACTGTATGGGCCAGCTTGGATGAAAGACAGCAAAACAAATATTTTATTTGTAAAAATACAGCTGGATTCCGTATTGATATGACAGTATCTCCACAACAAGCATTCAACCCGTTCTTGGCCTGCTTCTGCCCCAAAACTGTAAGTACAAAACCCCACTTCCCAGCCCTGCTTTGATCGAAGAGAGAAAGAAAAAATCCCAAACCCAAAGTCCTAATGTATTAAAGAGGAAAGTCATTATACCAGTTTGCTTGGTCCAAGAGAGGAAATGCAGACAACAGGAAAGATTACTGCTGGAAATGGCTCTACAGAGCCATCTACAGATCATTTTTGAGCCGTTGCTAAATCACAGTTTGCTTTTTGCCATCCAAAGTTTGTAGCAAAGAGACAATATCAGTTGGTGCATCCGGGGAGGAAATCATACCCACCCTATTGTGTGGCCAGCAGGAGTCTAAATCTTCTGGATTTCTATGTCATTGTGTTTCTAAGATACTGTCCTACAAATATTTTGCAGTCTCAAATAGCTTAAGGATGAATAAGTCTCACGTCAAGGCACGGACACATTTCTATTTTTAAACCCTCCATGCTCTGTGGTCCTGAGCTGTTAATGATCCTTTTGGCTGTGGTGATTTCCAATTAGCAATGATAATTTACTTTTCATCCTGATACCTAAGGAGTCTGACCTCTCCTGAAGTTCCATGGGTCACTTGAGTGCATTTATATTTACCTCTGAAGTTTTCAGAGTAAACAACTTTTCTTCCTCTTGCCGCTGAAGAAACCCTGTCTTAAAATTTATACGAATTCCATTCAAACTCTGGTTCAATTCTTTTGCACATTTGAGCACTGTTTATTCCATGACCAAACACAATATGCCATTTTTAGTCCAGCGGAGAAAAACCAAAGTTCTTTTTTTAACCTTCTTTTTTTAGCCCAACAGGCCTTTTGGAAGAAGAAACCGACTATTAATGGGAGTTCTTTTGAATTTTGAGTTCCATCCTTCATTTTTAATGCCATGCACGCCACCTGATTCCAGGCCACCTGAAGCCAAAGGAAGTAATTCCATTGATTCCCCGTGATTGCAGCATAATTTGCATGAGGCTAAGAACTGCTTATTGAATGATTGGTTCCAGTTTGAATAAAAACTCATGATAGTTATTGCAGGTTATTTTTATAACCCACAGTGTCAGCTAATGCCAAAATATGTTGATGCAGATGCCTTGTGTGAGCAGTAAAGAGTTGGGTGCACCGTTGTCCTAGTTCCCACCAGGTAAAGGGCTTGGAAAATCCAGTCATGTGAACTTGGTTACATCAAGTTTTAAAGATTTTGAGGTCGTAGCTTTCACCTTGCTCGGTTCTGCCTCTGTGAGAAAATTCAGGCCAAAATGGGAAAGATATCAATTGGGATGCTCAGGAGAAAAAAAATACAAGATATTGAGCAGAGTGTTTGTGCTAACCAAACTTTAAAAATAATAAATAAATAATAAAGCTGATTTTTCAGGGCAAGAGGCAGGTAGTTAAGCAACCTGTCTTGGTGCAAAAGAAAAGGTTATTCCCTATTTTTACTTCCACAGGGAAAGAGTGGCCACCTTCTCTAGCAGGAATATGAGATGGAGGTTGGGGAAAAGGTGCAAATAGGGAAGAGAGGAAGGAAAGGCTTTTGGCTGATGCTCTCACACCCAAGTTAGCTGACAGATCAGCCAGGGAAGTTGTTTTTTCTGGAAAGAGACTGGCTTCCTAAGGCAAGGACATCTTGTAGGTGGGTTATCAGGCAGCCTTTGCCAGTGTTCCTGCAGCAATGTGCCATCTCATCCTGCCAAGTCATGCAACCCTGTCGGTCCTGTGTTGAAAGCTGGAAGGCTTTGGTCCTTTGGAAGGAATGGGATGAAAACAGAGTAGGAAGGAGACAATATCTCCAGGATCAGTGAGAGTGTGGTGACTGTGCCTTCTCCGCCGCATTGAGAATAACACCACGATCCTTGGCAATCAAAAACAAAGCAGTTCCTCTCAGAACACTGAGCAGATCAACCTATAAACTCTCACTCGGGTTCCAGAACTTGTGAAGTTCTGTCCTGGTGGGTACAAGCCCTTTGGCTCTGCAGCAGGTAAGTTCTCAAGCCCCAGAGGGGACGTGCAGGTGAGTGGCTGCTCTGCCGGTGCTCATGAGCATGGAATTCCCAGCTGTCCTGGCTGGAGCATGTAATTACAGGAGCAGCTCACACTTCTTAAGGTATTAATCTTCAAAGTACATCTGTAGGTAAAGAAGGGAGGTACTTGCAAGTAATTAACCATCAAGTGAGAAAGTAATAAATCTCAGCAGGCCAGACTTACTGCACAACCTCTCTGGGCAGCAAGAAATGGGTCTGCAGTCTGGTGGTTCTGGGCCACACTCCTGAAGTTTTTTAGGTATTTTACTCTACTCAGGCACTGTTGGAAGCAGGAGGGAATCGGGAGCAGCGAAGGAACAGTGAAAATCCAGAGAGTAAATTACTGTGAATTTCAGCTACGTCATCTTCATCCTGTCTTTAAAGGGCGAAAGAAGTAAAACCAAGAGTCGGTTCTGAAATTCTACTAAGCCCCTTGACTTCTGTCTTTTTTAATTTTTACTCCTGAAACCAAATTTCTCTGTTATCTTTACAAGGCTTGTCTTTTAGCTCTGACCAGGGAGAGCTGGAGAGCTAAGCTGGTCATCACCTCTGGGGCTTCTTGTGGATAAGAAGTGACACTTAATCACTGCCAGGCTCAGGTACTTGGCAAAGATGTGGCACAGGCTCCATCTGCTTTAAAAAGCCTCCCTCCAAACCTGGTGAATAACAGCAAAGCAAAATTCGTGTCCATGTGTATTTGAGAGACAAGAGAGGGAGAGATCTTGGGTCTGCTCTTGAAATTACAAGTCATTTAATTTTTGTTGCATCTCTAAACAAGAGCTACACAGGGAGAAAACACAGTATCTGGCTTTTTGAGGACAGGCAGACAAAGCTGTGGTGTGTGTAACTTCCTTACTTCTAAAGTGTACAGACTGTAAGGAAAATACATAAATGCTATATATTGATTTAGATTAATCCAGTC